TCTCCCCACTCCCCCCCTTCGAGGAAACAATAAAGACAAGTCGTTTCAGAGCGAGTGAGTGGTTGATTCCCCCGCCCGCGGACATGGCGCGGCGGCGGCGGCGGCACATTGCGCTCTTTTGGCGAATCGTTTTTTTTTTCTTTTTTGGTTCCATCTCTGTCCTGCTGTGCTCGCCCCTCCTTGGTCCCGTTCCCCTGCTCCGTCTGAACGCGTGGGAGACTCGACAGCCTTGCGCGGTGGGTGACTTGTCTCTCGGTAGGGCAGGGCAGCAGCAGTGCGGTTGCGTATAGGTCTCTCGCTTTGGCTCCTGAACGAACGGGGACGCGTGTGAGAGAAGGAGTAAAACAGGGACGGATAACACAGGAAATACCAAATACCACTTTGCAATGCGCAAGTTTTCAGGAAACGCCAAGTGGTTGAAATTTGTTGTTTCGAAAATTGTGTAGGAAATTTCCAAACCTTAAAATTTTTCCCGCGACCTGACCGTTTACTCTGCGAACAGCACCTCGTCGACGTGTTGTAATTTAATCAGCCGCTTCGGCGCTATGGGCCAGAGAGAGCGGCGGCGCCGCCGCTGCAGCGCTTTTGCTGCCGCTGTGTGCTTTACGGAAATAGCGCCGTCTGCGCGCCGCGCCCGCCCGGCTGCACCGCGGACCGAAATACAGAGGGCGACACCCGGCCGGGGCCGGCGGGGCCTGTTGGACCTTAGGGCTCCCTGTAAAGGTTAACAGGGCCCCCCGGTGAAGGGCTCGAGGCTCTACGGGCCGCTCGGGAGACCGCCCTGTAGCAGCTGTGTGCAGCGCTGTTAGGTACCCTGCGACTGTTCTAGTTTCACCTTTCTGTTTATTGTTTGCGCCGTCTGTATCTCTTATGACATATCCGCTCGTTGGAGAGACACGCGGCGCGCAAATTTCTTTTTGCTAAATGGGAGAGAGACCACCGCCTCGGCTGCAGCTGAGTGGAGTTCCGCGACATCTGGTTGGATGCTGCTGGGCGGCCCTCAAGCGTGACGTCGTCGGCGAGCGGCGCGGATGCAACAACTTCGCCTCGGCAGCCGAAGCCTTGCCGAACGCACTCCGATCTCCTTCTTGAACGGTTAGCAGCAGACTCGAAGCGCCCCGCCGCTCCGCTGACGGCGGAGTGTGACGCTGACCAGCCCACCACCCATCGGGCTATTTAGCGGTTTGGTTCGGGAGGCTTCGTATCGGTGGGGCTCGGCTTGTTGTTGGGCTTGTAATTTTCTCGGTCGTGGCTCTGAAGTTGGAAGCTGATTGTGAGCGGGAGCCGCGGCACGAGCCTGCCGGGCCCGGGCGCTCCTCGCGTGAGGCCCTGCTCGGCGCCCAGCCTGCTGAGACACACACCATGATCTTCCTCTTGCCGGCCATGCTTGAGGGGCCCGGCCTGGCTCGGCCCTGGCTCTGCAGAGCCTGCCGCCGCTCCACACACTCACGCTCTCGGGGGGCGCCCACGCGATCTCCCCGATCCACGCCGTCGCCGTGATGGCCGGACGGGCCCGGTCGGTGAGTCTCTCGGCGAACGGAGTATCGCCGCCGCTGCAAGCATGCGGGGTATTGCTGCTCTTGCCCCTGCCCCTCCTGCTCCTCCTCCTACTTCTGCTGCTTCTTCTCGCTGTTAAAAGGACGACCCAGCATTTAGCACAGTCGGTATCGCCCGTACACTTGCCTGGTCGTGTACCGCACTTGCAAGGAGTACGTTGTTCTGACGACGGAGTGCAGGAATTTATGACAAACATGGAGCCTTTTCGGGCACGACAGTAAACAAGTACGGGTGTCCTGTACCTCATCAAATCCTGTACTTTTCCCGTACTGTGCCATAGGATTTTTAAGTGCTGCTTCTGCTCTCCTACTTCCTCTGCTGCAGCTCCTCCTCCTGCTCGTCCTTCTGCTGCTGCTGCTCCTGTTGCTTCTGCTGCTGCTGCTCCTGCTTCTCCGGCCGGTCGGCTCCTCCGGCGCGGGGTAGCGCCCGCCCGCCCGCCCGCGGTGCGGTAGGCCGAGGTAGACCGGCTGCTCGGCAGGCGCGCCCGGCGGGCGGCCTACCCGGCACTTGGCGGGCGCTCGCCGGGCCGAGCCTGGCCTGCCTGGCGCCGCGGCCGGTGCCTGGCACGCACCACAACACCGGCCGGGCTGGCCGCCTCCCCTCCCTCTCGAGCGCATTCGATTGTGAAGCATCATTTGTTAGTGGTGCCACGCAGTGAAAAATGTTGGGAACTTGACGGTAAAAAGTCTATGACGAATCTCTTTAAGTTGTAATTTAGATTCCATTGAATGGTACAATGCAAACCGTATGCTTAAGTCTCAATTTGACAGATACAAACGATTGCGATCGATGTGATGCGGCACAACACGGCAAAAACGACGCCCTGGTTTTCATGACGTTTGGAAAACCCATGAAGTTCCCCATGTATTTCTTCCAAAAGACGTCATGGTTTTTCCAAACCGCAATGAAAACCAGGATGTCGTTTCTTACCATCTTTCTGACCATCGAGGACTGGACGATACCGTCCCACGTTATGGTATGACGAGAAGACCCTCCGGCGCCCATTTCGTCCCAGCCCTGCTTTCCCACGCACTCTGCGAGGCCGCTGACCGGGCGACCCCAGTCCCAGTGATGGGGACTCCACCCCTGAGGGGACTCAACCCGGGGCACCACCCCTGAGGGGCACCACCCTTTGTCCGCCAAAGGCTTTGCGGCGCCAGGCAGCGATCGCTCGATGTTATTTTTTTTCACCCCACATTATTACCTAGAAAGAGGTGGAGGGGGAATGTGTTTTGTTGGTTTTGTGCTGCCGGGGCCGGGATTGATTGGTGTGCGTTCTCACAAGCCAGCAGGGTCCACCCCAGCTCCACGCAGTTTGACCCACCTTTCCACCACCCACACCCCTACTCCTCACCCTCCAGGCCACCTTCCACTTTTCCTTTCCCGCCTCTCACAGTCAGGTCAGCTCAGCAATTAGTCGTTTTTCACGTTCGACTGGCTGCGTGCTGCGCAACGCAGTGGGTGGGGGGGGGGGATAATTTAAAGCGCTGTGCTGTTTCCTCGTGCATGTCGCCCAAGCAGATCCGTCCTCTCCCCCCTCTCCCCGGACTGCCCGCGTTGGCACCTGGAGGACCCAAGCCTCTCCCCGCGACTAGCAGCCGCCGCCACGCCCCTCCGGGTCCAAGCACGACTTCACGCTCGACCGCGCGTGCCCGCCCCTCTCTGCCCACCCTCTCTCCCTTCCCTTCTCTGCACCCCTCTTCCCCTCTCCCCTCCCCTCCGTGCCCCGCTCCGTGCCCCGCCCCGCCCATCCTGGACAAACGCAGCGCCGGGCGCCGCGCCGCCTCGTCTTCAGGCCGCGTGAACTCTCGCGAATGCTTGTCGTTTATCTCCTTGAGAGGCGTATTTTGCGCTCAATCCCACTTTCTTTGCTGTCCGTGGTTTCAAACGCACGCGCCGTACTATCATCCCCGTCGTGCGACTTGGATTGTTAAAATGTTGATGGAAATGGCTCTTTCGCTCCTGTTGCCATAGTCTTACTTCGGCCGGTGCCAGGTGCCATGTCGCCTCGCTGCACTCGTTTTCTTTGGCCGTCCAGTGTCTAGCGGGAGCGCGCTTTTCAGTCCGATCGCCGCCCGCGCTCGGCATCAAGCCAGATCGCAGCACTCCTTTTTACTTCCACCCCCCCCCCCTCCATTTTTTTGCGACGGACCTCCGTTTTCGTGACGGAGCGGGTCGAGTCGGGCCAGGTCGGCGTGGCGTTCGGTTTGGCGTCGCATCCTCCACTCGTGAATCTGCCCGGAATCGGAGATAGGCGGCAGCGGGGCTCCCGGCACGGAGCGCTTACCCGTCGATCTCTCTCTCTTTCTCTCATTCTGTCCCTCGATCTTTCACTCCTCTCCCCATCTTTCTTACTCTCTTTTGCTCTGCGCTTTGTCGCCCGCCACCGCCTCCGCGCCTTGCACTTGGTCCCGTACGATTCGTGTGGGCGCGAAGCGCATTCACACCGATTCACTCTGAGAGAAATGTTCCAGTCACCAGCCTCCGGACACTGACATATCGAGAGGACTGTATTACACGGCAAAAAAGATAAACTTTGCTAATCTTGCTTATTCCTCTTTTTCTTTCCAATAATCTCATTTGGGATTTTCCTGAAAGGACGTCCGTCGATCGCAGTTTCGATCCTCTGCCTATTTTCCTCATCGCGCCTGGTAGGTAGGCAACATCTCGCCTGTATTTCATGCGTGTATTGCGGCGTGGCCTATCGTGAGTCTCGCAGGCGCTGAGTGGTTATAATTTACTGAATCGATCGGAGAAAGACGGGCGGACTTTCTGCGCGATCCCTTTTCAGTTATTGTTTTTGGCCACAGACCCATCGAGAGCGTTTCCTCTTCCCGCCCCCTGCACTGCAAAACCATTGCGTTGTTGTTGTTGTTATTAATCAAAATAATTAAGTATGTTTGGCAACCTATGCGACAACACTACGCAAGTTTGACAAGGATACTTTAGTTTTAAATCCGCCCGACTAAAATGATGCTGTCACCCGAGAGACCCTGTAATGCACACACAAGGTTTATGTCGGTGAGGTGTGCCTGGGCTCGCGCGCCAGCAGCGGGGATGACCCCGCCAAGGGTACAGGCGGCCCGTGCAGCTGTCCCTCCCCGACCTACTCCACTCCCCTCCTCTCCCCGCCGCGCTGACGGGCCTCCTGGACGCCGGGCCGACTGAGCGCGAGCGCGCGGTACGGCGCGGTACGGTGCAACTGCCCCCTTCCCTCCCCTGCCCCCTGCCCCTCTTCCCCCTGTCTCTCGTCCTCTTGTCTCGACGCTGCGGCGCGACTCGGCTCGGCATTTTCCTCGGCGTGTTTGCTCGCGGCTGGTCTCGCGCCCGGTGTGCCTCGCGCCCCGCCGCCGCCGTCGTCGTCGTCGCGGAGGTGCTCGTCGCCGTCCTCGCGCGTCATGGGGTGGCTGTCGAAGCTGTGCCGGCGCCGCGGCGTCCTGGGCCACTCGGGCAAGGAGCTGCCGCCGTCGCCGCTTCCTGCGGCCGAGCAGCCGCCCCTGCAGCCGCTCGTCGCGGCCCCGGAGCCGCCGGTGGCCGCGCCCCCGGCCCTCGCCGCCCCCAAGGCCGCCCCCGAGGCGGACGTGGACGACGACTGCAGCACCACCACCACCTCGGGTCGCAACAAGGATCGCGACGTCCCCGGCGGCCCCGCGGCCGGTGAGTGAGTCGCTGCAACTGGCCGCGCACAAACTACCGTTTCCGGTTGGCCGCGCCGGAAGTGCGCCCGTGGGTGTCGGCCACCTGTCGCCGTCCTATCCCGTGTAGCCTCCAGGAGGCGTAGGCCGCGGGGAATGCGAGCGGAGCTGCGTGGAGGGTCGTTATCGAGAATCCGCTGGAAGCGTTACTCGAAAGGAAGAAATAGGACTCCGTCCTATAACCCGCTGGTCACGGCGCCACGGTGTCGGCGCAGGGCGAGGAGGCAGCGATGTCTCCGGCGCAGCAGCATATCTTGTTCGTGACGTTGAGGACTTCGTGACTACCCGCCTGGCTGCGCCATCCATCCATCCATCTGTCCTCCCGCGAGAGGAGACTCGTGACGAACCGTGACGAAGTAACAAGTCTATTTGCGAGCTCGTCCGAGCTTACCTCCCCCC